TATGTTAGACTCAAGCGCTGGCATTGAAAATATTCATAATCAAATACATCGATTTTGTCCATGCATTTAATGTTAAGGGACAAACCTCACGACTCTACCCGAGTGACCTGTGCCCCTCTCCTATAGTTTGGTTACGATTACTTTCAGGAATGTTAAATTGATTTATTCAACGACAACGTTACCGGAAATAGACTTTAACAGGATTGCCCTCAATTTGGTCGCTATACATCGCTTCGTTATACCGGCTTTTCAAATACAGGAAACAAAACGTCTCCCTCTTTTATCCATTCATCAGCATTTTTACCAGTTTCGTCCGGAAGCTGTGGAATGCGGTCGACGTGTTCTCACGTACTCACGGGACAGCCGATTCGAACAATGTAGCTTGATTCTGACGGCCGACGGAAACAATTGCTCAAATTTCTGCTACCAGGTTCACTCAATTTTGGGAGTCCAGTTACAGTGAGTTTGATGTGAGGAAAAGACTGTGCAGGAGCAGAGTCTTACCTCGAAATACTTATATGCTTTGCATACGGACTTGCTTCTAAAGGCATGTATACTAACGTTGATGACGTATCGCGTTCTGTTTAAAGCACCACCGTGTCTGAGAGCGTAAGGGATGGCGATGTCGTTTGTTCGAATGTTTGAACCATGAATAAGTTGCCAGACTAGAAAGTTATAAGTTTATTAACGGCGGATAGGCGGTTCCTTTGTTGCGCTAACAGCATCGACACTTGCAGCGTAAAGGAGTCAAGGATTTGACTCTTAAAAAGGCAGACGAATTTCAGCGCTGATAGATTTGTATCCAAAAAGTTACAGGCGACCAGTCGAAAGGCTTGGGCTCAGGTATAACAGGGAGCTAAGAGTGATGTTCTGAAACTTATGATGACAGACGACAGACGGGAGGGTGCATCAAGATGAGTGGTGTAAAACAGTAACAAAGACGAGGACTAATTAAAAGGCTGAGAAGGACGGCTGTTTTTCTGGTGTTTCATGACCCTACCGTCCAATGCGATCGGACCATAGGTGTCACAAAGAAGTTTCATTGGCCAAAGCACATGTGCAATCTCGGCTTTGTCGTTTTAGAGACCCAAAAATTAAATGTCCACTTTCAACGGTGTCGTAAGAAAAACGCCCAACTAACAAGTTTCTCTACTGGCTAAGAATAAGGATCTCCAGACTGGACAAGTATCACGGCCAACTTTAAAACACGATCTACTGAAACGTAGATTTCACTCTCAGTAACAAATTTGCATAATTTCCTGCAATTACTTGAAGTGATCGTGAATACCATCTTTTATGAACATTCCGTTAGTGAAAGGTAATTTAATCATGGAGTAGTAGGGATGAACATATGATTATCGTTGTCCATTGTGAATAACAATGTTCAGCTACTTTACAGCAACAAGACAATCACATTATGTATCAAACTATGTCCTATATAGTAGACTACCTGGAGCGCACGAAATAATATAGTTAATTTTTACGTTACATGTGAGTGTTTTAAACTTAAATCGATTTTTTGGCCTAGAGTACAGGGTAATGCGAGGTTATCAATTAAATTAGGGGTCAACTAAAAGGTTTCCTGATACAGAGCATTGTATAGAACAGCTTGTGGAAGGGTACGATATGAGTACTATTGACTAATTCTGAAGCCTATGTGAGATTATGCAGCGAGATGAAAACATTCTTCTTGCTCCAGATATGAAGATTTTTACAGTATCCTCTACTTAAATCTATTTGACTTGAATCCATGAAAAGACCTTTCGGTTATGAGCTTTCGTGTGATTAGTTGATCGTTTCACATGCCATAACGATTTCCCTCGGTTACCAATGCAGCTAGTAACTTAAAGTTTCATAGTACTTCGCCTTTGTACGCGATCGTTTCCCGTTGTCCTAAATCTCCACCATTATGTAGACGCTGAAGTTTGAATCAGACCGAGGGGATTCCGGAAACTTTCGCGAGGTATTCAGATCTTTCCGTGAATCCTTTCTATTCTCGACCGCATGCTGACTTGAGCAGGTTTCAGAAATAGGGTGAAACGTTGTTGTGATGACTATCGAACGAGTACTGAACCAGTTGAAGATGAAGTACTGAAGGTGTGAAAGGGAAACGGGTAGATGCCGTAAAGTACCTGAGTGACAGAACTCACAGGAGTGGGAGTGATTATACGAGGAACGAGAAAATGAATTTAGAAAGTAGCAGAAAACTGTGGTTGCGTGTTGAAGCACTTTGAAGGGTAAAGACGACGATTAGGAAAGTAGCCGTGGATTTCCTTGCAAATAGGCAGCCCCTCACAGCAGATACCGAATGACTTTAGCGTATGTGAATGGCAAATCTTGCAAGCGTTGGAACTAGAATATTATGAAGGAGAAATAAAACTTATAGCAGCAGCATGAGGGGCCAATGTTGAGAGGGTGAGGATGAGAAGAAGTTAGAAGAAGTGGACTGTGGCATGAATGAATTGTGGATATGTAGAGATTTAATTCGATAAGAGTGGAGTATATGCTTTTAGAATATCTGAATGGCAAAACTCAATAGGACAGGAATTAAGACAAAATGAAGAAGAAGAAGGGGAACAGCAGTAGAAGACAGAGAACCGATGCAAAAGCACTTGAAGTTTTGAGGTTTAGAGACGAATGACGAAATGCTCTGTGGTATGAATGAGATTGTACCGATACATTTGGTATTTGACGTTTGTGAAGCAAATGACTTAAGAGTATTTGAATTTTGGACCGCCTAAAGGTAAGAAATGAGATTTTGAGAAAGGGAAAACGAATGATAAGAAAAAATAAATAAAATGCATGGAAAAATGTTAACCATATACGTAGTGTACTTACTGCGTACTTAGCAGTATGATAATGTATAATAGTAAAAATGACTTATTACGTAATTACTGTAGCAATTACTATATTAGTGTAATATAATTAGCTGGAGACAACGGTTATGGAAGGAAGAAGGGGAGGAAACGAGAGAAACGGAGGTGGAGAGATATGGAAGAAGGAAACGTAAAATAGAAGGAGAAGATTAAAGACAAGCAGGAAAAGCTGTCGAATAAACAGGAGGTTAAGGAGAAGCAGCAGAAAATGAAGAGAACCAGGAAATGGAAGCGGAAAAGAAGAAGATAGGAAACGAGAAGTAAGAGAACGAAAATACGAGCACAAAAACAAGGAGAAACAGAAGCAGGAGAAGGAGGAAGAAGAAGTAGAGCAAGGGGAAGGAAAAAATATACATTTATTTTATCGCAAACGTTTCTGTCACAAGCAACACGGCCATTCATCATAGCGAACAATCCGATTGAAACAGAAGCGTAGGATTCGCATATTGCTAGTACAAATGATTTCGAAAACTTATTTATAGTTTAAATCGTCTTCAATTATCATAGACAAAATCAAAAGAACGACATTAAAACCTATGGTAGAACAGCAAGATCGTTATTCCGATTCAATGGTTTAGGACGCTACGCTAAGTCGACCTGCAAGATACCGTCATTTTCTCCAAGGTTTCAGCTAAATCGTAACAGTTTAGAAGGGAAAATCGATGTTGAAAGAATGAACTGTGACATGAATGAGGTTGTATATGAATATGAGTGTATTTTGACAGGAATAGAGTGAATACCTCTAGAGTATATGAACGATATTTTTCGCAAAAGTGGCAATTAAGGCATTAAAAAAGCAGAGCAGCAAGATGAAATGACAAAAGATGAAATGAAGAACAAGAAAGGGTTGAAACCAAGGTGCTGAAACAGGAATCGAATAAACTGAGTCGCTTCTTTACTGATAATTTCCTTGCCCTCAGGATTCACATTAGATTAGAAATTAATCTTCTTGCAATTTTGACGGTTCAGCTTCAGCTCGCGTTAACAGCAAGACCAATAAATCAAGACCAGGCATGCGTTGCTGTCATTTGGTTGCGGCATTGAGTCACAGCGTGCTTCAAGTTTTGAGCCTCATTCCATGATGGCTGAACTTTCATCGCTTCTTTGCAGTGTGAGGAGGTCTACCGATTGCATATATGCTTCGAAGCAACAACAAGGATATAAATATAACCAACAGAAAGTAGTGCTTTACTGAAAGTATTACCTACCTACTAGGTACTAGTTGGAGTGTGGTCCACCACCGGCAGACTGACTGTTTAGCTATTGTGTACAATTAAGCATTTTGACTTGTATTTCACCAACTCTGAAACAAAATTCTGTACCTAAGTTGCTTTCTGCAAAAACTCCAACATCATCATAAACAAAAGATCACCTCGAATAGTATAAACTGACAGACTGAGTATGGTCTGAAACATGTACCTGTAAGTCGTTCATCTACTCGCCCGCTTGCTCCATTCATGGCGATGATACACGGAAATTTCAAGGCTAAAATTAAATCTATTCATATTGGAATTTGCAGTGAAAACTTTTTAAGTTAAGAATTGGCTTAATCACGCACGATGTACACTATTTGTTATCGATCTTCATTGTGCATGGCATCCAGCGTTTCTAGTACATAATTTTCATAAAACGAATAACTTGTCGCACCCGTAGAACCTGCACATCATCACAGTATAACTCTTTTCTGATCTGATGTTCGGACTTCTATTGCTTGACCGTTAGCCGTTGCTTGAACAATCTCATTAACTTCTCTAACCTACGCCTCATCATTTCATGCCATGCAAACACTTTCACCGGCTAAATAATTACGCACGGCTTGACTTCGAGTCATAAACCAGTCATTAAATCACTCTACCGTCTGTCGTAGGTTCGCACCTCACGAAAATTGACCACTGTGAGGAAGCGTGAAACGGATACCCGATGCATAAAGGCGTAAACCTCACAAGCGGTGTTTCGTGTGGTGTATCAGCCATGGGAACCTGTGGCGCGATTGTTTTCGTCGACATAAGCATTGGGGCCAGCGCTGGGTCCACAATTGTTTAACGCGCACTATTTATTGCATATTACCACGCATAAAACTCATAAAAATTCCTTAATGCGGTCCGCGAAACAAAAACTTTGCTGTCAAACGTTAAGAGCTTTCGATTGCAACAAAAACCACCCGAGTCTACCTTCGCTTCGCCTCGTTTCGCCTCCGTTTCGTTTGCCTCGTTTCGTGTCCTCGATGCTGACAGCGTGGCCACCTTCCCGGTCGGATGCCTCCTGACCACTGTCCCACGGAAAAAGCGCAAACACAAGCTTTAAAACAGAGGCCAGAGTGGGAGACCCTGCTTTGTCCATGACCACCTGCCATGTCATGCGCGGAGACAACTCATGCGTCGTCGCCTTGGAAGCTTTTTGGGACTTATCGCTCTCCAAGCACTTTACAGGCAACGGTCTTGATGGGAGGGAAATTTGGGCAATGTGAGAAAATTGGAAAATTACGTGAGTAATCACGTATAATATCTACAGATTAGCGAGAAGTTTCGCAGGTAGGCGGCCGGTCTCTTAAGAAAGGCTGATAAACCGGTGTCCTCGTACCATATTTTGGATCAGCAGTATGTTTGAGTATTTAAGGGGAAACGTATGAGGCAAATTTGATGACAGCTCTCATTTAGATGAGAGAGTTTGCCGAAAGTAATTAACATATGAGGTCAGGGGGTTCCTCTCCTGTGTTTGAAAACATCATGACAGGATTTATCAGCAGAAACTCGTGCTTCTTCAAATCATATATTATGTTACTGGCATGAATCACAACGATTCATTTTTTTCTCTAATCTCAAACAGCTTTATACGTGTTTCCATCTCCGGCGTATCGTCATTTGGCCAATCGCAGCAGCGGGCTTTCTTGTTTTTCGATTAGCTCCATA